AAGTTGGGTTTATATTGCCAATTCTAAGACTGAAATATTATATATGAAGGGTGGTTTGAATGGTAAGGCATGGTTACGCTATTACTCTAAACGATCTTCAGTCTGTGCTTGGTGGGGGAAACGTGGTCTATAAATATCAGAAATTTCCTTTTTGAAGGATTCCTGGAAGCGAATGCTAAATGGGCCGGAACCCCTGGAGAGCTGCTGCCAGTCAAAGAGACAATGCTGAGCTGAGTCAGTACAAGGCAGCTTCCTGTGTTCTCTTCGGGCGTCTGCTCCATTGCAGGCATTTAAGATTTTATCAGCACCGGAATCCACCTGTTACATGGTATGGAAAATGCCGTTAAGTCCCGGCCAACTTAAGGCAACCCCATAAGGTTTTCCAGGCAAGAGATGTTCAGAGGTGATTTGCCACTGCCTGGCTCTGTGTAGCAACCCTGGACTTCCTTAGTGGTCTCCCATTCAAGTCCTAACCAGGGCTGACCCTTGCTTAGCTTCTGAGATCTGATGCAATCAGGCTAGCTTTGTGCCATCCAGGTCATCCTGGGAAATATGCAGTTCTTCCATCTGATTTGCTGGGTTTTGCTGGGTATGCACTCTGGGGCAAGTGATGCTCTGTCATCTTGGTGCTTGGGGGGGGGGTCAACAGTGGGATGGCTTCAAATGTCCTGGCCCCACTGGTGGACCTCCTGATGGCACTGGTATTTCTGGCCACTGTGTGATACAGAGTGTTGGACTGGATGGGCCTTTGGCCTGATCCAACATTGGCATCTCTTATGTTCTTATGTTCTTATGCACTGCTACTGTCTTTACACAAAAGAAAGTGCCCTGGAGTGCTCATCCAGGCCCATTTCCAAAGAAAGTTTCAGAATGCAGCACACGATCTTCCTTCTACACACACAAAGGATGCTTCCTCCCTCTTCTTTTCCAGCAAAATTTCCCCTGATCCAGTACCATACTGCCCTCAGGAGCATGATAATGTGGATACAGTGCGAGGAATGGGATCTCTTTTTGGTATCAAAGTGCAGAGTATCTTCTGCAAAGACCGTAAAACAAAGCAACGGGAGGATCCCCGTTCCCAGTTGATGCCAGTATGATCAACGGAAGCAGGAAATGAATTCCATCTCAAGCTTTTTGCCCTGAATCCCATTCTCCTTAGCTCTCTCTTCTGCCCTTGGAGATCTTTAAGTTTTTGCTTTTCCCCAAAGTGCATCTCTCTAATTGTTTTGCTTGGTCCTACCCCATTTACAAAGTCATGAGAAGATCAAAGTGAGAGCATTAACAGACTCAGATTTCTAAGAGGGCTTGCAATAGATGTACATCTTTGGAGCGTGTGGCTTCCTTCTTGCTTTGATGTACTGAAGAGCCTACTCTCCTTAGGAGATTCCTTCTTTGTCCCCGGATAAATGATAAGATTCCTGGTGGGTTCTGTCTTTCTTTCTTTCTTCTCACCAGTGGAACAAAGATGTTCCATTAACAGGCACATTATCTCTTTGGAACGTGTCAAAACCACCCTGGTTTGCTGAAGGTGATAACCTTTGACAACTCCATTTGCACCTCTGTTCTCTGATGTAATCTCATTTGTCTAAGCAAATTTTGTCCAAACAAATTGATTGTGTTTTCCTCGGGGTGTGTGTGCTAAGAGCGACCTGCGTCAAGTTCTCCACTTTTCATTCTATCCTCCCAAGGCTAAGAGAGACTGACTGGCCCAAGATCATAAGGTGGGCTTCTCAGCATCTAAAGCCAAAGGTCAAGCTAGACACTGTGCTGAAATATATATTTATTTCATTGCCCTTCAGTCCCGTCTTTCTTCCTCCTTAGAATGCATGGTGGTATACACAGGTTTTCCAGAAGAAACCTTTTCAGACCTTACAGTTGTCTACTGAGAACCTGCCAGCTTCACGTAGATCCTCCCAATACAATGCACATAATGACCATATGCACGCAACTTTGGTATACATGAACCGATGCCAGATTTTTCAGGGTTCTTATTCCCATGTACCAAGGCTTATTCATGGATGGTAAATACACGCACTGCCTATGTCCATGCAACTTGGTGACTTGGTGTACTGTCAAGATTGTTGAAATAGCACATGCTTCCAATACATAGAGTTGATAGGCTCCTGGTATGTGGGATTGTGAGACTGGGAAAAGGCCTCCTGTTTGAATGTTGATCTAACTCAGGCGGCTGTTTCATGTGTTCTCCAGCCATATCCTGAGACCCATGAGTTCCCTGGCATATTTTAAAGGGATATAGCAGCCACACGGAGCCTTGATTTGCATTCAAGCATCCTTTAATATATTGAAAAAACGCTATCCTGGGGAAAAATACAAGCCCTGTAGTTCTCCCCCCCTCCCCCCAGTCCAGGACTTTTCAGTTGGCAAAATGAAGCAGGAGAGAAGGTTTAAACTCCCTTACTGGGTATATACACTGGTTAATATTGCAAAGTTGCACAGATAGGAAAATGAAGAATCACATGAAGCATTCTTCAAGTCAGTTTATTGCAACAAATGTAAGAGCTTTTATTGATGCTTATTCACATTCACATGCATTTTGCAGTAGAAGAAGAAACAGAAGCCTAATCTGAACAATTTCTGTTCCTTATTGCAAATGGCTAGCTAATCTGACACAGCATACGTTTGCAAGTATGGGACCCTCCATGGGTGCGGCCTGGCTGGCTTTGCACATGAGTCGTCTGCAGAAGCATCTTGCCTCTTATAAGACCACCAGGAGAGAGAGCAAAAGCACAGAAAGAAGGAGTCAGGGAGAAGCTTCCAGCACAGACAGATAGAAGCATCACAAATATACACAGTCTGGTGGGGGGGGGGATATAGCACCTCCAGTATGCAGGCATGCCGAGTTGCCTTTAATCCAATATCTCTTACCCTACTATGTCCCTGATGTAAATTGGGACCCCATTTGGCTATTTGCATAATATTAAGTTTAGCTCCTAGTCTGACTCTTGAGCCATTACACAGCACGAGCTGTGTACGCTGACCCTGTAATGGGAAAACTTGTAAGGGACCAGAGGTTTTCTGAATAGTTTGCAGGCACATCCATCTTCAGTGTGTGTAAGCAATCACCAGATTTTTCAGGATCCTGGTTTTCATGTACCAAAGCTTGCAAAATATGTGTGGCGTCTATCTTCAGACAACATAGTGACTGCACATTGTGCATATCATGAGGAGTGCACTTACGCTACATGTTGCTACTGGCTTTCCATGTGGGATGGAACATTATTTTTTATTAATTTGTTTGTTAGTGTATTAGTGACCTTTCTTTCCTACAGAGATCAAGGTTGCTCATTTCATGGGCTGATCTATATTTCATGTGTTTTTCTGGACTTGTGCAATTTTCCCTGTAATTTTATAGATGATTATTCATTTTTGCATTAGTTTTGTTATAGATGACAAAAAGTGTAAAATGGTAATCCAGATTTATTTGAATTGTGATATACTAGTTCATAGTGAATAGTTCAATGAAAGTGTCAACCCAGTGTGCTGCAACAGTGAAAAGATAGCGGTGTATAAAATTATGCATGGGGTGGAGAGAGTTGACAAAGAGAATTTCTTTTCTCCCTCTCCCAAAATACTAGAACTCAAGGGAACCCAATGAAGCTGATGGGCAGTGGCTTCAAGACAGACAAAAGGGAATACTTCTTTACACAGAGAGTGATTACAATGTGGAATTTGCTGCCAGAGGATGTAATGATGGCCACAGAAATAAACAGCTTTAAAAGGGGATTAAGTAGATTCATGGAGGATAAGCCTGTCAATGGCTACAAGCCATGGTGACTGAGGGGAACCTCCTCTGAATCTCAGAGCCAGGAGGCAACATCAGGAAGGCCTCAGCCTCTAAGCCTTGTTGTTGGCCATCCAGAAAAACTGGCTGCCTGGTGTGTGAGACAGGATGCTGGACTGAATGGACCACTGGTCTGATCCAGCAGGGCTCTTCTTATGTTCTAATGTTCTTATGACTGCTCAGGAAGTTATGTTTATTTTTTTTAATCTAGCCCAACCATGGCTGGAGATTCTAGAATCTTCATGAACCAAGACATGGAAATTGGCGTCACTCCAAGAGAGCCCAAGAAGATTCCCAAACAGGCCCGAGATGACATCCCTATCGCCACTGATCGAACACGCCTCTTAGCAGCCGAAATCAAGAAGCCGCGACAGCGCTACATGCAAAAAAGCGGCAAGTGCAACGTCCACCATGGAAATGTTCATGAAACCTACCGCTATCTTAGTGACCTTTTTACTACATTAGTGGACCTCAAATGGCGTTTCAACCTTCTTGTATTCACCATGGTTTACACTATCACTTGGTTGTTTTTTGGCTTCATTTGGTGGCTCATTGCTTACATACGAGGAGACCTGGACCATGTAGGAGAAAAGGATTGGATCCCTTGTGTTGAAAACCTCAGTGGGTTTGTCTCAGCATTTCTGTTTTCCATTGAGACTGAAACCACCATTGGTTATGGCCATAGGGTTATCACCGAAAAATGCCCGGAAGGCATCATCCTGCTTTTGGTTCAGGCCATACTGGGATCCATAGTCAATGCATTCATGGTAGGGTGCATGTTTGTGAAGATCAGCCAACCAAAGAAGAGGGCGGAGACCCTCATGTTTTCAAACAACGCTGTGATTTCCATGAGGGACGAGAAGCTGTGTCTTATGTTCCGGGTTGGGGACTTGCGAAATTCCCACATTGTTGAGGCTTCCATTCGAGCCAAGCTGATCAAATCCAAACAGACCAAAGAAGGGGAATTCATCCCTTTGAACCAAACAGACATCAATGTGGGGTTTGACACTGGGGATGACCGTCTGTTTCTGGTGTCACCGCTTATCATCTCTCATGAGATCAATGAGAAAAGCCCCTTCTGGGAGATGTCCCGTGCCCAGATGGAGAAAGAAGAGTTTGAAATCGTGGTGATTTTGGAGGGGATGGTGGAAGCAACAGGTAAGACCTTACTTACTGCAATGCCAACATTGTTCCAGTTGGCACTCTGCTTATGTTAATTTGTGAGCCTGGTTCAGAAAACTCTTTTCTTTGTCTGATTTCCCATCTTTCTTAGTTTTCTTTCCCAATTTTTAAATGCAGTTTCGCACCATTTATACAGAAACAGACATCAGTTTTAACGGGAATGGGTTGGTTAGGGTTAGAGTATACTGTTAGCAGTAAGCAAAGAACACTTAGTGGCAGAGGTCATTTCGGGGGGGATCGCAGTTCCCCCGGGTGAGGTGCAGGAGGCGGGGCACACGACGAAGCCCCGCCCCTTCTTCTGGCCGCCCCCTTCTTCCAGCCTCATTCTGTTGCAGAAGGCGGAAAAAGCAGAAGGGTAAGTTGGCGTCCTCCCCCTCTGCCTGGCCGAGGCCACTCCACGTGGCCTCCGGAAGGACTCCCAGCCCCATCCAGGAGCTTCCCCGAGGTAGCTGTGTTAGTCTGTTGCTGCAAAATAGTCCAAGAGTTCAAATAGCACCTTTAAGACTAACAAATAGCACCTTTAAGACTAACCTTTAAGACTAAGACTGAGTGGTGGGTGTGGCCTTATGACACACTTCCGGTGATGTCAGGGGTGTGTAGCCTCATGACACACTTCCAGTGATGTCAGGGGGTGTGGCATATGCTAATGAGTTATGCTAATGAGTTTCCCTAGCTCTTTTTCTACGAAACAACCCTTGCTTAGTGGAGTTCTTCCAGCTGAATTTGGGGTCACTGTCTGTAGCTGGTCACACATCTCAAATGTGAAGGAACTATAACCAAACCTGACCTCTATGGCATTGTGACAAAAATTGGTATAATTCTGACACATGTCTCAAATAAACTAATACAAAATTTATGCATTTGATTTCCCCCCTGTGCTCTTCCCCCAGCCAGTGAGTATTGTATTGCAGGCATCATGTATCTGACTTGCTCTGGGTTGTTTTGTGCCTGCAATTTCAAAATGCATCGAGTTTGTGGTATGGCATGATTCAAATTGATGTTGCACACCTCAAAACGGCTTTCTAAAGTTACCCATACTTTTTTATTGTTGTCCAGACCCTTTAAAAAACTTTCTGGAGTTTAGAGAGATATCGGTAATACTTTCCTTTTTCTCCCCTTTTCTGATATCTAAGTGCTGTATTTTTTTCCTTGGGGGGGGAATATATTATTAAAGTATAAAAATCCTTTAAAAATTTATGCATTTGGGGCAAGAATTCTGTTATATGTCAGCAATCATATTCTGCTGGAATTCTGCTGGACCTCCTGATGGCACCTGGTAGTTTTGGCCACTGTGTGACAGAGTGTTGGACTACATGGGCCATTGGCCTGATCCAACATTGGCTTCTCTTATGTTCATCAGTAACAGAAGCACATTTTCAAATTCTTGCCCAAAATTTATGAATTTTGAATTATTGTGTGAATTTGACCTCAAAAACCAAAATGTGAACATTTAGACCACTTTCCAGTTTCTGAATACATGGAAAATTTCCTTTTATCTCTGTTCCTTGTATACATTGAATTGCCAAACTCCAGGGAAACCATGTTACCCAACAGAGACCCCAATTTTCTGCCCAACCTCAACTTTGTTATTTATTTCAAATTCAGGTGGGTAGCCGTGTTGGTCTGAATCAACGGAACAAAGTTTGAGTCCAGTGGCACCTTTAAGACCAACAAAGTTTTGTTTTGGGTGCATCATTATGCATGCACACGAAAGCTTACACCCAGACACACGAGAGCTTATACCCAGGATAAACATTTATTATTTAAGAATTCATTTATTTATTCAATTCATTTATACACTGCCTTTTTCTCTTAATGGTGACTCAAAGTGGTTTACATAGGAAGCCATAGGAATTCTCTCTTCCTTGACCCAAGCTCCCCCTTCCACAACATTATCAAGTGTTAAGGGCTTAAGAAGACCAGTCTCCCCATCTCTCTCTCATTTTCCTGAGAGTGCATTCATTGGCAGCCAGCCTCCTGGTGGGGCCTGGAGATCTCCTGGAATCACAACTGATCTCCAGACAACAGAGATCGGTTCCCCTGGAGAAAATGGCCACTATGTACCAATGAGGTCCCTTTCCCCTCCCCAAACCATGTCAAGGGGCTCGGCAGTGGAGCTGCAAGGCCGGCGGTGGCGGCCGGGACCATTGGGGGCGGGGTGTGTGGCCTTATGACACACTTCCGGTGATGTCAGGGGGTGTGGCATATGCTAATGAGTTATGCTAATGAGTTCCCCTAGCTCTTTTTCTACGAAATGACCCCTGTGTACCAATGAGGTCCCTTTCCCCTCCCCAAACCGTGTCCTCTCCAGGCTCCACCCCCAAAGTCTCCAGGTATTTCTCAAGCCGCTTTGGGTCCCCATTAGGAGAGAAAGGTGGGGTATAAATGAATCAAATAAATACATGTACTATTAAGACTGTAAATACATGTACTATTAAGACTGTATCAGTGACAAGTTTTTAAAGTTTTTCACCACCCTCTGCAAAGCCTGCAGCTGTGCTTGGATCAACTGTAGGCACCCTGATTGGCCAACCAGGAACACAGGTCTTATTCTGGGTCTTATTCTGCATGATGTATTCTGCTTCCAGAATCCAGACTGAATAAACCTTGAGCCTAGAGAAGGAGAATATGTAAAAAGGGTTTGGGGGGCTCAGGCCTAAGGGAAGGAAATGATAGCCATGGTACAGACAAGAATTAATGTCATAAAGTGCTCACTCATTTCCTAGTTTGTTTTTGAGTTCTAGGGATTATTTCTAAGTTCTGATGAAATTTGGGCTTTGGGAAAAGCAAGATATCAGCAGCACCTTAAAGACTTTGTGGCAGGGTATGAGTTTTCATGAGTCACTGCTCATTCTTCAGATATGGCCATCTGTCCTTATATCTTGGAGAGTGGAGTGATTTCAGATGCCAAATGACAATAGTAGGTGAATGATAGTAGCAGGTGAATGACAATAGCAGGTGTGATTGGATTAGGTTTGAAATGCAGAAGGGTAGTAGGTGTAAAGAAATCAGCATCGGTAATGAGACAGGAAACCTAGGTCTTGATTCAGTCCAGGAGGATGCATTGTCTTGACCTTCATTATCAGTTGCAATCTGAGAGGGATTGACTCCAACACCCTCAAATTCTATGTTTACAGAATAATCCCCCAAAATCAAGGCTGTCATAGACTTGGGGTTTAGAAGGTCAGTCTCTGGCTCTGGTTTTGATTCTGAATGGAGGTAGAATTGCAGAGAGCAGTTCTTACAACAAAGGAACACACATTTCTTCAAGGCAAAAAGCTTCCCCTGGTTGCAACTTCTATTAACTCTCTCTTGGAGTCTACACAGCCTCCTGTGTGACCTTCAAGATTTGATGGTTGCCATGGAAGCCTATTGCCAAGCAAGATAAAACGGACAAAGAAAATGCATTTTTAAAAAGAAAACCAAAGCAAGCTCCCTTGGAAATGAATGGACTTGTGTATTCCCTGTCTATTTTTGAAACTTCCAAGGCTTGCGAGTTTTTGAAAATGTGTAATATTGAGGACAGTAGCCATATACAAAGAAAGCAGGTGGTTTGCACAATCCAGCTTTTGCCCATGCAAACAATTCCAACTTTGGATGAATGGAAAAAATGCCACTGAAATCGTGGGAATTGTTGGTCACTGCACCTGTGGTTTTCTGATTTGAAGAAGAAGAGGAAGAGATTGGATTTATACCCCAGCCTTCACTCGGAGTCTCAGAGCAGCTTACAAACTCCTTTCCCTTCCCCTCCCCACAACAGACACCCTGTGAGGTAGGTGGGGTTGAAAGAGCTCTTTCGAGAACTGCCCTTTCAAGAACAGCTCTTGTCAGAACTATGGCTTGCCCAAGGTCATCCAGCAGGTGCAAGTGGAAGAGTGGGGAATCAAACCTGGTTCTCCCATATTAGAGTCCACGCACTTAACCACTGCACCAAACTGGCTCTGGGATACATGTAGCCTAACTTTATATAAATTTGTGTATGGGTAGGCTACATGTGTATCGACAGATAGCTGAACATTCTTGCATGGATCAAGAACTTACTGTATGAACTGGTGTGTGACAGATACTTAATCCAAGGACCCAACTACATGTTGCATTTTTAAAAAAAGTTGGGTTCATTGTTCTGGGTTCCCTGGACCCAACTCACTTTCCGTGCAGCTGCACAGCAGCTGAAGGGAAAAGGGTTGCCAACTATGAATTGGGAAATTCTGGTGATTTGGGGGTAGAGCCTGGGGAGGGCAGGGTTTGGGGAGGGGAGGAACCTCTGCAGGGTATAATGTCCCAGTGTCCACTCTCCAAAGCAAGCCATTGTCTCCAGGAGAACTGATCTCTGTCATAAGAACATCAGAGAAGTCAATGTTGGATCAGGCCAATGGCCCATCCAGTCCAACACTCTGTCACACAGTGGCCAAAAATACCAGGTGCCATCAGGAGGACCAGCAGTGGGGCCAGGAGGACACTAGAAGCCCTCCCACTGTTGCCCCCATCCCCCCAAGCACCAAGAAGACAGAGCATCCCTTGCCCCAGACAGAGTGTTCCATACATACCTTGTGGCTAATAGCCACTGATGGACCTCTGCTCCATATGTTTATCTAATTCCCTCTTGAAGCTATCCATGCTTGTAGCCGCCACCACCTCCTGTGGCAGTGAACTCCATGTGTGAATCACTCTTTGGGTGAAGAAGCACTTCATCTGGAGATCAGTTGCCATTCTGGGGGATTTCTAGGCCCCACCTGAAGGCTGACAACCCTAGTGGGGAACGTCATTTTAAAAGCCTGTCGGGGCGGGGGGCTGTTTGACATGGGACTTTGCCATGAAGGAGGGAGGAGCTCTTGCCCCCCACCACCACCATGTTCCCATGCCAAAACAGCCGTGTTGGAAGTTATTTGCATAACACTGGAACAGCACATGGAGTGTTCTGGGAACCTATACTCAGCTTAATTTAAAAAAAAAGTAAGATGCAGTTTTGCCCTAATTCTTAGCATGGTTGTGAAGATAAAACAGGACAATCCCCTTGTCTGTCATCCTGTGTTGC